GTTATCATTGTGTTGCCAATGATATATCTCTTCTTTCAGATGATAACATTGAAGAAACGGCCTTTATTGAGCATACCCAAGCCGGCAAAAACAGGGAGCGATTCGGAAAGTGAAGATGATGAGCATAAGCGGTCTGCTTTGCCGGCAGCGCCTAAGGACTTTAAAATACCCTGGAGAAAAGAGGTAAATGTTTTGTTTTATTTTTAATTCCTAAAATCTTCTTATTTCTTTTCATATCATATCCCTTTAGATAGACTACACCACGTAGATACAACCTTTTTTATGTTTACTTCGTGCAACACCATCTTCCAGAGAAGTAAAAGAGTCGCTTTTTTAGATAGGCACACAGTATCTGGTCTACTTCCTCATATTTGAAGCTAAAGCACTGAATCTTAGAGATGAATGCAGTTGCCGCGCTTTTTCCAAATATTTGTAAAATTAGTAATGGTTTGCTGGTGTCTTGAGTTCTATGAAAACCTCAAATTCAGCCAAAACCTAATTCAACCGATTTTTTCGTCTTGGACACCTCTGGTGGTGCTGAAGAAACTGCAACAGAGCTTTCCTCCAGTACATTAGAAATGCAAGAGCCCAATGTGTCCTATGAAGAGAATTCTCCAGTTGTAGTTGATGAGAGAGTTCAAAAGGTTAGCCTTATTTTCTTCAGTTTTAACCAGTTTTGCTGTGAGTATATCTAGAAATATGACTATGTTGCTTAATCTGTGTCAGGCTCTGAGTTTCCTTTATAGTTTTGTGCTTTTTATTTAGTTGCTAGACAAGGCGGTTTGTGGACCATCTTTTGAAAAGAACTATGCTGAAACTGCAAATCTTATTGGTAGGAGAGCAGCGAAGCGATTGCGAAAGGTAATTTTCTGAATATTTCAAACTTTTTTTTTCATTGAAAGATGCAAGTTCTTAGAAGGCGAAATCCAGTTTTTCGATATCTGACTTCTTCTATGAGTGCATTCCGTGAAACTAAGCTATGACTTTGATTATTTACTTTCATCAGCCTTACTTTTACTCAAAATGGATTCGTCAGTTTGGATTGTACTGAAGCATTCATTCTAC